TGTGGAGCAAGAGTGCACTCGGGGCACAAGGGCTCAGAGGGGAGATTGGGACTCATCTCTGCCCCCGGCTCAGAGAGCCATGTGTGCCTGCTGTCACCTGGACAGCACCTTGCACTTCTGGGGGCCTCTCCAGCCTTCAAAACCTGCAGTGTGGGGAACTGGAAGGCAGGTATGTCTTCCCAAAGGTGCAAGCCAGAAGGCTGGACTTGAACCACCTCTGTCATCCACAGCGCTGGATTCATTCACTCGGGATGCAGGTCCTGGCAAGCAATGGTTGATTATGAACCAGAGGCTGGGGCTTCAGAGAGAAATAATCAGGAGCTTCCCCTGCTCCTAGGGAGATCACTGTTTGGTGGCTGTTACCAGAGGGAGTTTGGACAGTTGTGCTATGCTGTTTAACATAGAAAGAAGAGGGCTTTGCTGAGTAGCTTGGTGCTAAGTAACTTTCCTTGTTGCTGAGACAAGATAACCAACATCCAAAAAAAAAAAAAAACCAACAAAATAACGAACACCCAAAGTTAAAAGCGAAAAGGTTTATTTCAGCTCATAGTTTGTAGAGGTTTCAGTCTCTAATTGGCTCCAAGGCAGGGTGGCATTGCAGAGGGGCATCACAGAGGAGAAACAAAAGACAGCAAAAGCAGCAAGCAGTGACACTAGCCCGCTTTCTGTCCCTTATATTCTATCCAGACTTTCCACTCTTAAGGGGGTAGCACTCACACCCAAGGAGAGGCACTCTTATAATCCTACACAGAATTATGCCAGACCCATCAATAGACTAATTTAGTAATCAGACACGCTTAACCCCAGCATCCCGAAGCCAGCAACCTCTGAAAAGCCCCACCCATGACTGCATGACCTTTGGGGGTACATCTAGATACAAGCCATGACGTGGAGCTGAGGGTTGTAGAGGAGGAAACTTTTAAACTGTGTTGCCACATTCACAGGCGTTTCCCTGGGAAGTACAGTGGACTCAGTAGAAATCACGAAGGGCAGGAGTGTTCATTCAATCATCTGGCAAACATTTCTTCAGGCCCCGCGTTGCCACCACGGGAGGGATGAGATGAAGCAGATGTCCTCCACCTTACAAAGCCATTGCTATTTAACTCTTCCTCTGTGGCTTTCATTTGGCTGACACATAGCTATCCCTGAGTATCCAGGGGGATGGATTCCAGAAGCCCCTGCAGGAACCCAAATCTGCAGATGCTTAAGTCTCTGCTGGCACAAAGTTTGAATATAACCCATGCACTTCCTCCCATACATGTTAAAGCATTTCTGGGCTACTTATAACACCTAATGCAATGTAAATGCTGGGTAAATAGTTGTTACACTGTATTGTTTAGGGAATAATGACAAGACAAAAGGTCTACAAGTGTTCAGTACACACCTAGTGCTCCCAATCCTGAACAGTTTCTAGCCAAGGTTGGCTGAACCCGCACATGCAGAACCCTTGGATATAGAGAGCCAACTGTATGTGAAGACAGCCAGTGTCAAACCTGGCATTTAAGAAATGCTCATTAAATATATGTCCTTGATCCCCTGAGACCCCGGTTCAGCGATGGCGAACCTTTTAGAGCTTTCACAAATAGTCCACTGCAGCATGCATACTGTAGGTTCACCATCACTGCAGCCTATCCTATGTTAACGCACCAGAGATTCACTGGATAAGCAGGTTTGTTCAGTGAATGAATGAATGAATGAATGAATGAACAAATGCTACATTCACCATGCTTTTATTTTTCTACCTTACTGGGAATCGAACCCAGTGACTCATGCATGTTAACCAGAGCTATACCCCTAGCCTGCATTCTGCTCTTTACACACATTTTACTATTTACATATTCCTGGTAATTAGATGTTACTATTTTTTTATTAGATGTTATTATCTGTTTCCATTTTCCAACCAGGCAAGGAGAAGCTTCAAGGCAGTGACTGAGCTAGTGCACCCTAATGTACTGGTAAGGGAAAAAGAAGGATCTAGACCCATCTCCCAGAGGCCTGAGCTCAGAATCCAAGCACACAGCCATGCTACTCACTGCTGGTCTCCAGCAGCCCCATGGAAAGCACTGAGAACAAGGGACTTTGTCCACCCTCTGGCCAGCTGCGGTGGCCTCAAAGGTTATCTCCCAGGTCAGGTGATCTATCGGTCAGTTTGTCTGGGGCAGGGGAAGTATGAAGGTGCCATTCCCCACCTGGGAAAAGGACGCAGGAAGCAGACCCTGGACTAACTCATGTCCTTTAAAATGAGAAGGATGACAGCCTCTGTCCTGAAGAGGCCCCAGAGCTTTGGTTCTTCTGCAGAGGTCAGAGATGGATGAGTTCAGAGACGGATGAGCTTTGCCGAAGAGTCCAGTCCCTCTTGCTGCTCGCAGAGAAATCCCAGGCCCTCACCACGCTCTGGGCCAATACACATCAGAAGTGAGTTCTGTCTGCAGCAGCTGCCCTGGGAGACACAAGACTTTGAGAGCCTTAAAAAACAATCTTAGTTCATGGCCCCGTTTTATTATGGGAAAGCGCTAGGGGCCAAAAGCATAGGTTGGGTGACAAGCAGATAAGCCCTTGGTGTATACTGACTGTTTCCTCTGGTACACTTGTGACCTCAAGAAAGTTATCTTGTTCCTTCTGAGCTTCTCTTTACTCATCTCTGAAGTAGGGGTAAACAGAATGATAAACAAATGCCTGAGGCAGTCACCCTCCAGTATAAGCTGTCATTGTGTGTGTGTGTTGGGGTGAGTACTAGGGATTGAACCTAGGGCTTTTGCACTGAGCTACGCCTGCCAGTCTTTTTTATTTTCTTTTTTCAAATTTTGAGATTGTTAAGTTGCCAAGGCTGAGCTCAAATTAGGGATTCTCTTGCCTCAGCTTTCAAGAGTGTTCTTATCATTTCTTTTGACTGAGTACCTCCTATATGCCACACAGTGAAAGGGATGCAGGATATTTAATTTTAAGAAGCCTCTAGCCCAGTATGAAAAATAGATGTATTTTTTTTTTCCTTTCTCAGTCTTGGTGAATGAGGCTGCCCAGAGCTGATTGTGTTCACAGAGGGACTGCCTGGATTCTAGGACATGGGGCAATCCTGAATCTCTGGGTTCTGGAACTCTGGAATTGGCTCTGTCTCCTCCTTGGTGCCTCCCTGTATCACCATTCTTGGAGCTTGCACACATGGGGCGAAGGCTCCCTCAGCCTCTGGGGACTGGGCTGATGCAGGGGGCTGGGGCTCACAACCAGTAGCCAGTGAGCACCCCGGGGCTAGGGTAGAGGAAACCATGGGTCAGCAATAGTAATCCCGCTGTGTATAAGCCTTCATAATTATATCAGGTTTTAGAGCCTGCAAAGTGTTTTTACATTCATTTCATTTAATCTGTAAGTGAGGAGATACCTCCAGCTAGCTTTTACATAGGTGGAAAATAAATTCACAGGGAAGTTTCAAACTGCAACTAGAATCTTACTTAGCCCACCTACGTTTCCAAAGTCTTGCGAAAAGCCTCACTGGGGTGCTTGCTAAATATGCAGATAGATTACCACACCCTCTCTCAAAAATTCTAATTCTGGCTAAGACTCAGGAATCAATAGTTTTAAAAATGTGCCAGAAGAAGCTTATCCTCTGGCAAGTCTGGACACCGTGCCACACACTGATTTATGGACTTAACTCTGATTTGGGTCCTGAGCATGAGTGTGATGAACAAGACAGTCCCCGTTTTAAGGTGCTAACAGGTATGCAGCTTGACCAGGCCCCACGGTGATCTGCAACCTAGGTCTCTTGGACAAGGCCCCTTCCTGCTGGGTCAGACACCTCTCCTTCCAGAGAGCACAGGTTCGGGGCCTCCTTTTCCACTTTCTAACACCTGCTCAGTTCTGAGCTGGTGGTTCTTTCTAGCTGGAGGCATCTTGTAAGAGTGGAGGTATGTAAAGCACTTAGCACTGTGTCCTGCATAGAGTAACCATTCAGTAAAAGTTCGCCAGCCGCTAATGGGCTAGTCAAGGACAGAAAAAGAGGAGGGGGTGGGGATTGGTGGAGAAGAAAGCCCTTCAGCACTGGAAAACAGAAGGGGCTAGACGTTGGGGCAGGAATTTACATTTCTTTAAAGGTAATTCCAGCCCTGACCGTCCCTAGGGAGGGAGCCAAGGAGATCACTCTGGTGCAGATAAGGAGAACAAGACCTACCAGAAGGCAAGGTGAGATTCAGTGCTGAATCCCAATGTCCCGGGCTCTGCCACCTCTGGCAGGGATCGTGGGATGTGGCCACTGGGGTGAAGCGTGCAGGTCTGGGAAACAGCCTGCAGCCACCAGGATCAACACCCACTCCAGCTTTTGCTGCTTACTCCCTTTCCAGATGGAGAAGTCCGTCTGGGTCCCTCCTTCCCTACTTCCCCAGGATAGCACTTCTGTACCTGGAACTGGCACTTGTCCCTGGGAGTTTTCCAGGGGCGCTCACCTCGGTTGCTGCTAGTACCCAGGACCCTGCAGTTTCCCCGAGGCTGGCCCTCCAGACAGACCCAGCCGAAGTCCAGGGATGCTCCGGAGTACAATAGGGCCAAGGGCTACACCCAAAACGTCCCCGGCCACCGCCTGCCTGAGAGCTGAGGTTTGCTCCAAAGCCCTGCCTGCTTCCGCCTCTGTGTGGAGGGGAAGAAGAGGACCCGGCAGAGTCCAGGAGAAGCAGAGTAGGTGAGGCCACACTGCCGAGCACAGAGTAGCCTGCTGTGTCCCAGCAACAAGGCTTTTCCTGTTTAAGGGAGCAGGGTACCAGGGCGCCCAGACCCGCAACTCGAGGGCCAGACTCGTCCCTGCATCTGAGGCCTCTTGCAATGGGCAGACCTCCTTCCCATCGAGGTCTTCCCATCAGATCTCGCGCTCGCTCGCAGGGGGGTCCCCTCCGCCCCCCAACTTCCAGGGTGTGGGGGGGTCATAAGTTCTTAAAGCTTCCCAGGAGGGCGGGGGCGGGGCGGTGGCCCAGAATATAAGGGGAGGAGGCGCCGCTCACCGGTCCACTGAGCCTACCATGCGCGCCCACCGCCTCCCGGTCCTCCTCCTGCAGGCAGGGTGGGCCCTGCTCCAGGCGGACTCCGGCGCCGCGACGGTGGCCACCGCGCCCCTATGGACTCAAGGGCAGCCCTCCTCGCCGTCCCCTCTGGCATACATGCTGAGCCTCTACCGCGACCCGCTGCCCCGGGCAGACATCATCCGCAGCCTGCAGGCGCAAGGTAGGCTGCGCCCGGCTCCCGGCGCCTGACTGCGGAAGTGCGCAGGTTGCGGCTCGGTGCGCGCGGGACACCTTGGTCGCAAGGCTTCCAGGGCGCGTCCTGGGTCTGGCTCCTCAGGTGTCTGCGCGTGGGCAGGGGTGGGGCGCCGAGTGGGAGGAGACCCTGCGGGGACGCCCGCCTCCCGGTCCCGGAGTGGGGAGAGGAGGGTGGGGTCCGCTCATGCCAGGGCCTCTTTGGCAGACTTAGTTGCGTGCCTGGGCGCCTCGTTCCTTCGCGCACCGGAGAACAGGTAACATCACCTCCCTTGTAAGAAAACCGGTGAGGCCCTGGTAACAGCGCTCATCAAACCCGGCACAGAAACCGACAGAGTACTAATTAAAAGCCATTACTGCTATAATTATGTTGTAGAATTTACTTTTTCTAATTGCGAGGGGGAGTGTGTGGGCCCCGGAGTCTGGCATCCGCAGTGTTGTAGGCTGAGGGTTGTAACATCAGGGATTACGGCTCACAGGTCCGAGACGAGGGATGGGGAGTTCTGAGGTCGAGAATTGAGGATGCCTCGGGTCCTCAAGCTCGGATGGGAAGTGTCGACTTCCGGGCCTCGGTGTGGACGGGTGTGTGTCGGGGACCAAAGTGACTTGAGGTTGTGTGGCTCCCGAGGACCAGGCAGCGCATTCTGGGCTCCGGGCGCGCCGGGCAGGTGGTGTGGAGGACAGCGAGCCCTGGCCTAGGTTCCCCTTTCCTGGTGCAATCCACATCCCGCCACCTGGACAGCTGCTGCGGGCCGCACCTCCCTCGGCCTGCGGGGGCCAGACGGCTCTCCCCGGGGCCTGGGCAATCCACATCCGCCGATCTGATCTGACCCGCTGCCTGCAGCCCCTAGAGGACGGGGTGGGGGCGGACTCCTAGCCTCCCGGCCGGTCTGCAGTGAGATGGTCGCTGACCCTCTCCGACAGGGTCATCTGGGGACCGTCCAGACGGGACATGCAGGAAAACTGGGCACTGGGAGCTGTGTTAGTGTGCCCTGCCCCTCTGGCTGAAGACCAGAGTGCAGACCAGAGCGCTGCGGGTGGTGAGGTGTGGGAAGGGGGAGGGGCACAGCTTTCCCGTTCACTTCCTTCGGGAAGGTTCTTGAAGGTTTGTGCAGATCTGACAGATCCGGCAATCTGGAAAACTGGGTTCTAGTTCCTCAAACCTTGTGCCTTTATTCCTTGTGTGGCCCGGACGCATTTCACCTCACCTACCTGGTTTTTCTTTTATAAATTAGGGGACCACGCTCTTCTGGCTTTTGTGTGTGTAAATAAGCATAACAATGTTTACCATTCTGGCCACCTTGAAGAGTTGTGAATTGCTCTATTTTGTGAGAGCAGCAAGAGGAGCCTGCTGGGAAGGAGACTGAGAAAGGTGGTCTGAGCCTGACCTCTTCTCTCTAGGGTGGACTTGGGCTGCAGGGGGACATTGACCTGGGAACTGGTCCAGCCAGGATGGGTTTGCATCTGTGGGTCACTGTTTTACTTTCACCTTGGACCTGCCTTGTCCTCATCTGCAAATTGTGGTACCACTGGGGAGAGTTCAAGGAGGCAGTTACATGAGAAGCAGCTAACGGTAATTTATTGACACTTTAATGTGGAGGCTTGGCTCCGTAGGTGGTGAGGAGCCCATTGTCCCAAGCCCCAACTTCTTTTGCCTTTGGAATTGGAGGTGGGTTAAGGTATCCCTGGGCCCCTGTGTGGCCAAGTCCGAATTCATTACATGGGGTTCATGGTGTCCATGGACCCCTTCTCCATCCAAATCTGGGAGATTCTGTCCGGACTGTGCCACAGGAAGCCCCTGCACACTGCCTGTCCCTTTGCAGAAACTGTGTGCTCCTGCCCGGGGCTCTCACCACCTGGCCAGACACCTTCATGTTAACTTTTGGGACTAGGCAGTAATGAGGAGGTTGAAGATGACCAACATTTATTCCGCTTTGGTGGTTGTGTGAGTTAATCATGATACCTCTATGAGGTGTACACTGTTATCATCCGCCTTCTACAAGGAGGGAAACTGAGGCCCAGAGAAGGAAAGTAATTTGATCAATCTCCAATAGCAATTGGCAGGATTTGAACCATCCAGGGGCGCTTTGAGGCCTCTGCTCTTAACTGCTCATCAGAACTATCCTCTGAGCTGTCATCCCAGCACTCTGGGAGATTGAGGCAGGAAGATCACAAGTTCAAGCCCTCCCTGGGCAATTTAGTGATTTAGCAAGATCCTGACTCAAAACAAAAATGGGCTGGGATATAGCTCAGTGTAATGGCTCTCGGTTCAATCCCCAGTATAAAACAGTGCCTTTCTCTAGAAGGCCATTTGCATGCACTTGAGATAAAATATTTTTAAATCACAAGCCTCGGGGTAAAAGGTTGCCACAGTGTCCCACCTAATCCCCAAATGGCCAAGCTGTGCAGCAAGGGGAATGATGGGAATGCGGGCTATAGGGGCCCTTAGCACACCTTGGGGACAGTTGCTAGCCAGGGGTGGGTTATGGCCCCCTGCAGGTGCTAATGAGGAGGGAAGTGGAAATTAAGTGAAAAAGGACAGTTGGGGATGGGCTGAGAGAAGTAGCTGGGCACACACACACACACACACACACACACACACACACACACACGACACTTACCCTTAGTACAGGCTGGATTTCCCGAAGAAATTCACTGTCAGGATTGACTCATGAATAGGTTAGACTTCCTCTAATGAAAAATCCTTGCTATTTATTTAGCAATAAACCTTCAAACATCTTTATGTCCCTGGGTCCCTATGATAGTGAAGAGATAGGCAGTGCATTATTATTTCCACTGCAGAGAAGAGGAAATAGAGTTTGGTAAAATTTGAAAATTAGTTAGGCATGTGGTGCATACCTGTAATCCCAGCACGCTGGGAGGCTGAGGCAGGAGAATCACCATTTTACTCTTAGCTCTGTTGCTTTACGAGATGGACATTTTGGGGGTGTCCTTAAACCTGTCTGAGCCTCAGTTTTCTTCATCTCTAAAATGGGCTTAACTATTAATTTCTCAGAGGAGGTGAGGATGAGAAATGGTTGATACAAATTACAGGCTGCAACATGAGCCGGGGTGATTGATGGGTGGCTAAGTAAGAGAGCTCTTCTCACTCTGTTTCCTCTCTGGTTTTGTCCCCTCAGATGTGGAGGTAGATGGAAAGAACTGGACCTTCGCTTTTGACTTCTCCTTCCTGAGCCAGCAAGAGGATCTGGCATGGGCTGAGCTCCGGCTGCAGCTGGCCAGCTCAATGGACCTCCCTGCTGAGGGCCTGCTCACTATTCAGATTTTCCACCAGCCTAAGCCGGACACAGAGCAGCACCCAGCCACCTGTCCAGAGCGTCTTCAGATGGAGCTGTTCACTGTCACGCTGTCCCAGGTTACCTTTTCCTCAGGAAGCATGGTCCTGGAGGTGACCAGGCCGCTCTCCAAATGGCTAAGGGACCCTGGGGCACTGGAGGAACAGATGTCCGGTGTGGCCAGAGAGTGCCGGCAGCGCTCCCCTAGCCTACCTGTCACTGTCACTGTCACCGACGTGATCCTCATGCTCTACTCCAACCTGTCCAGGGAGCAAAGGCGGCTGGGTGGTGCCACTCTGCTGTGGGAAGCTGAGAGCTCCTGGAGAGCCCAGGAGGGACAGCTGTCCCAGGAGAAGGCCAGGAGGCACCGTCGGCATCACTTGCCAGACAGAAGCCGGCTGTGTCGCAAGGTCAAGTTCCAGGTTGACTTCAACCTGATTGGATGGGGCTCCTGGATCATCTACCCTAAGCAGTACAATGCCTATCGCTGTGAGGGCGAGTGTCCCAACCCTGTGGGTGAGGAGTTCCACCCCACCAACCACGCATACATCCAGGTGGGGTGCCAAGGCAGGTTGGGGGTAGCCTGTATGTAAGCCACAGGATCTGCAATATGTCTGTGTGAGGTCCCAGGAGGATGTGGAGATGACCCATCACAGTGTCTTAATGGAGGCTTGTGGGATGGCCTTGAACACATGGCTTCCCTGGGATTTTCCCTTTTTTTTTCATTTTGGGACAACGTCTCACTATGTATTCCAGGCTGACTTTAACCTTACCATGTAGGGGCTGGGGATTTAGCTCAGTGGCAAAGCGCCTGCCTGGCAAGTGCAAGTTTGTGAGTTCAATTCCTGGTACCAGAAGAAAAACAAAAACAAATAAGCATTATCATGTAGCCTAGGCTGGCCTCAAACTCATGATTGCCCTGTCTCAGCCTCTCAAGGGCCTGTAGGTTGAATAGAGGGTCTCAGCTCCTCTCTAGTCTTGACTTTCTAGGAAAAGAAGTTAGAATCTGGACTTTAGGAGGGACAGGCCTGTGTTTGACTCCTATTTATTAGCTGCATGATTTTAAATTGCTTATTCTCTTAAGCTTCAGTTTTCCTGCTTGTAAAATGGGAAGGGATGCTGTAGGGTCCATGAGACAGTACATCCGCAGGCTTTGTTGGAGGGGAAAGGTAGCAAGTGTGTTTGATGCTGTTTTTGCATGACTTGAAGTCTGTAAAATGGGGGCTGTGTTTATTGGGCAATGATAGACAATGTACTTTCACAACCTAAACTTGTAGCCGACTACCTATTTCACAGCAAACAACAAGGCCAGGGATTGCCACCAGGTGCCATTGAACAGCCCATGGCAGTGATGGTGAACCTTTGAGAACTTTCAATGATAATAAACAGCGTGCTGGGGGCTGGGGATTTAGCTCAGCGGCACAGCGCCTGCCTGGAAAGCACAAGGTCGTGAGTTCGATCACCGGTATGGGGGGGGGCGGGGAACAAAACAAAACAAAAAAAACCAGCTTGCTGCAGCATGCATGCCTTAGCTTCGCCACCACTGGTCCAGAAGGTGGTGGAGGGAGAGGAACGGGACTGATGAGCTGGGAAGGGGAATATATTAGAGAGAACAGAGAGCCTAACATAGTGGCCTCGATGTTAGAGAGGGCCTTGCCTTGCTCTTAAAGGTCACATGGGACCAAAGTGTTTTCATTCTACTCCATGAAGCCTGGAGCAAGATCTCTGGGACCTGCAGTCCTTCTGTGCCATGCCTCCAGCAGTTTCAGGGATCTGGGGAGCATAAGCAAGGGAGCTACTGCAGGCCGGGCTCCAGGGGACCTGTCCTGGGCAGAAGCCTTCCTGTGCCCACCTGTAGTGCAGCCAAGGGAACCATCAGATCCAGACAGTCCAGTCACCAGTCTGACCTTCTGATCTGAAAAGACCTGCTGGACAATAGGGATGAGCCTAGTTCCCAAATGCCAAGGGGCATTGCCTTTCTTGTTCACTCTGCCCTTCCCTGGCCAACAAAGCACATCCCATAAGAATTTCTACATGACTCTCTATTCTGCTGTATGTTTCTAGAACTAAACCAGGAATTTCTTGCAATCATTTAAAACTGCTATTCACTCTACAGTAGAATAGGATGGACATATAAATTAGCTACTGTTCTCCTGAAACATGTACAACTCTCCTTTTTTTCAGTACTAGGGACTGAACTCAGGTATACTACCACTGAGCTGTACCCCTGGACCTTTTTATTTTTTGAAACAGGGACTCAGTTGCCTAGATTGGTCCTGAACTTTTGTTCTCCTACCTTAGCTTCCTGGATAACTGAGATTACAGGTATTTGTCACTATACCTTATGATTTCTTCTTAGGGTGCAGGGCCCCACACTGCTAGGCAAGTGCTCTACCATGGAGCCACACCCCTGGCTCACAAGTAACTTTTACAACTTCCCTGTTTAGAGGCAGCACAGTTAAAGTTCTTTTCGATGTTGGAGTTGATGATACATTGGCTGCTGGTTCTCCTATAAAAACAACTTTCTTCCATTTTTGCACCCAGAAGCTGACCTCTAACTCTGTAATGTTTCACTCTTTGCCTCCTCCCTGCCCTTTACAGAGTCTGCTGAAACGCTACCAGCCCCACCGAGTCCCTTCCACCTGCTGTGCGCCGGTAAAGACCAAGCCACTGAGCATGCTGTATGTGGACAACGGCAGGGTGCTCCTAGAGCACCACAAAGACATGATCGTGGAGGAGTGTGGCTGCCTTTGACGGATCCTGGGGGAACGCCACTAGTTTGGGAAGCTCCCAGGAGACGTGGTAGCATCTATCCAGGGAGGAGAAACAGGGGAGAAGCAGCTCTGCAGGCCAATGCCAAGGAGGAAGGGCTGCCACTCTGTAGGGAAGGGCTCTGCTGGGTCCGCCAAGCCCACAAGCACCCCAGGAAGAAGGGGCAGGAGGAAGCTGGCTGGGCTTGCCGAGCTTCCCCCTCACTGAGGACCGTGGGGAGCAAAAGCACAAGTGCAAGAGTTCTTTACCTGCTTTTTTTTTTTTTTTTTCTGATTTTTTTTCAAACTTGAAATTGTGTGCAAACGTTGGGGCATATGTGCATTTATTTTTGAGGTGAGGCAAAGCCATCTGCTGTTTTTGTGTATTCTTAAAAGTGGTCTGTGACACGCTGTCTCTTCCCCCAGTGTAAGCATCATTTTATGAGATCAAAACCTAGCCCTCTGGCTGTTGTTGCCTGGGGCTGGGTTAACTGAGGCCCCTGCATGTTTCTTCCTGGCCAGGGACAATCTGTTGTCCCTGTCCAGAGGCTCCCTGGAGGGGTCTCTGCTAATGAATCATATGAACAATAAAGTCACTGCCTACTTCTCCTAGGGCAACTGGTGCCTTTGACAGGAGAGGAAGGAACTTGTCCAAGAGGACTGGTCACACTGGATTACATATGCTGGGGCTTTCAGCTGTCCCCAAGTCAGTCTGCTTGGCAGACACAACCCAAATCTATTAAATGTGGTGACAATTGACCTGAGTCTCAACGTGTGCTATTAATGAGGGCCCCAAGGTTCCTATCCAGTAAGGGTGAGGCTTGTAGGGTGAGTATTCACTGCTCAGCCTCATCTTGTGCAGTGAGAGACAGCAACTCCTAACGTATTCATATGAAACAGCTCTTGGTAGCTCAGCTGTCAAGTGCCTGTG